TGACTACCAGATGTTTCTCATCCAGATGTTTGGCAGCTTCACTGTAGATGCTGTTTATTTAGGAGTCCAAGCCTGGAGGGTGAAGGGACTCTGGGCCAGTGCTCACAGTCCGTCCCAGTCTGTCCGAGTCCCTCCCAGCACTAGCAGCGGTGCTGGGAACCCAGTTGAGACCTCTCATACTGATGTTACTATTCCTCTGTTGGTGACCGTTCTGCTGCAGAAAGGCTAAAACACGCCGGCGCCAAACGCCATGCGTCCAAACAGCCATCCCTGTTATTTTCTATGTATAATCGGCAGCTAGACGCGTGCATTGACGCGTGCATTGACGCGCTACCCCACAACCACTGTCCTATTTCTAGCATCACTCTGGAGTCTCGTCTCTCCAGGTGAGTTTAAAGTGTCCACACCGGGTTACCATTAATTATAATCTAAAGGAAACAACACCGCATCCTGCTGTTGTAAGTGTGAGCATCATGTTTGAGCCTGACACATGCCCCCCAGCAGGTGGCACTATAATCAAGGTAACATCTACCAGTTCCTTGAATTGAGCTGTGTCTGGTGACAGAGGCCACGCCCCTTTTCTCTTTATTTAAACTCCACACAACCATAGGAAGAACATGCTAACTGCTCCAGCTGGGAATCAAACCTGGGACAAGTGAGGCGACAGAGTTACCCACTGAGCCACCACTGTGTTATCGAACAGTTCCTAACAACATATCAATGAAGCTGAGATCCTACAGGACCACGAACTGACAGCTGATTATTGGCAGTGAAACAGAAACAGGTCTCCATAGAGTCCTGAGTCCTGGTCTGGATTGTACAGATGTGGTCTGGATGAATAAAACCTCTTAAAGCTTTAGATCACCTGCACAAATACAAATGTTTAAACTTTTGTCAATATGGACGCTTATGTGTTACTAGGGGGCTCAGTCTGGGTACGGGGGCTCAGCCTGGGTACGGGGGCTCAGTCTGGGTAAGGGGGCTCAGTCTGGGTACGGGGGCTCAGCCTGGGTACGGGGGCTCAGTCTGGGTACTGGGGCTCAGTCTGGGTATGGGGTCTAAGCCTGGGCGAGGGGGCTCAACCTCGGTACGGGGGCGGCTCTACCAGCTTCACTAAAAGAAATATTCCTGTACTGAACCCGCCGTCTCTTCATCCCCATAGTCAGAGTCCCATTTTTAATGACTTATACTAAAGAATCAGCAGAAACAGCCTGTGAGATCCTGCAGGGACTAATGAGCGTTTCTAACGAGCTGTTTTACAAAATGCTGAGTTTGATTTGGTTTGAGGAACTCTCCACAGACACACATCAGCCAACGGCTTTAAAGTAGATTCAGTTCAACAGGTTCTATTAACTCTAAACGTAGTCAGTGTAATCTAAAGACGGGCACAATTACAAGAAAGAAGCGTTTTTGCCATTTTTGCACAAATCCTAACAAACTGAATGACTTCAGATTTGATTTCTAAAGACATTTACAATCTAAGGTTCTAGTCTAATGGCGTGTCTGTGGCGACCAAACATAGCACCCCCCACTGGAAACAGGAAGTAAGCCTTGTATGGAGGTCAATCAAATCTGTGTATCATTCGTTCTTCTCATATTCAATTGAGATTCCAAAATCAGAAAATGAAAAAACGGTTTGTTATTTCCTTATTCGTTTATGAATCTGATACCAAAAAACAAATAACGGTTCATTTTTTGAACTTTCAATTTATTGCTCAGATCAAAAATAGAAAATGAAATAACGGGCCTTGATCGCTCGTGATTTTGATTTTGATATTAAATTTTTTCGCTTTGTATGAACTGGAAGTTATTGTCTCGTTAGCTTGAGTCACTTCTTCAGTTTAACTAAAGTTAGCCGGATACCCATCTGCTGCAGCGTAGTAGAAATCTCTACATGTGTCTTGCCAGTTCCAAATAAGTCTTTAATTAAATCAGCATATGGTTCCAGTGCAGCCATGGCGTCGATACGAAATTACTCAAAAAATACAGAGTACAATCACTGCATGATTGAGTTTTTTCAGGCTTTGCAAAATTGCGGCAAACTCAATATCAAAATCAAAATCGATCCGGGTCCATGTATCTTTTGGTCATTGGATTTTCCTTTCAGAAACGGGTATTAAAAACAGAAAACGAGTGGTTATTTGATTTTCGTTTTAAAATACAAAAATTAAAATTGAAATACAAAGCGTTTTTCTTTTTCATGGTCAGAAAGGGATGAGCGAAATTAAAAAAATTATTCGATTTTCATTTTCTATTTCATAAAACAAAAATTAAAATCACTAGAAAACAGAAACAGAAAAAAGGCCTGTTGTTTCATATTCTGAGACCGGATGTTGTCATTTACAGGACAGTGCTGTGTAGAAGAAACAGTAGGCTAGTAGACTGCGGTCAATCCAGCCGTGAGTCCGATCTCCGTGGTCAAATCAGCCGCACTTAAATTTAGAGTGTACAAGTATTCTCAGCATTATGGTAAATGCGGAGAAACAGCGTATTTACTTCCGGTTTTCAAAATAAAGGTATTTAGAACAGTAAGCTATAATTAAAATATGTTACATTAAAGTGTTTCATGCGCCCCTGATGAATAAAAAAAAACACTTTATATCAAGTATCTTTACTGCACCAGTGTGGAGAAATGCCAAAATAAACGTCTCATATTTATGCCTCCAGAGATTGCATATTTGACCATATTTGAGGTACTGTAAAAACATATTGCTCAGTGTTTCCTGGCTACTGATGGTATATTTGACTTTTACACATATGAGACTACAAACATACTTAATATCAAGCATTTGTATTGTACCAATTTGGAGAAATTCAACAATAAAAGTCCATATTTGTACCTCCAAGTGGTATTTTCATATATTTGAGCTACTGTAAAAACACTTTGCTCAATAATTCCTGGCTATGGATGGTATATTTGACTTCTACACATCTAAGACTACAAGTATACTTAATATCAAGCATTTTTACTGTACCAATGTGGAGAAATTGAAGAATAAAAGTCCCATATTTATACTTCCAGATTCCATATTTTCTTATATTTGAGCTACTGTAAAAACATATTGCTCAATATTTCCTGGCTATGGGTGAAGCATTTTCATTATACTTCAATAATGCTGCAGTAATCATGACAAAATTTCACACAAATGTTTAATAACATCTTGATAATATAAACACTAAACACAAAATCCTACACAATTCTAATTTGTTTACTTTTCACACAAAATGCAATGCCAGTCCACATTCTTCTTATTTTGCAGCTCTGCTGTGTCCATTTGTAGGTAAAAGGGAAAAATAATTAGTTTTAACTTCAAAACACCATTGTACCTACTGTCTCTTCATCACATATTATTTTTTATATTATTCAGTGTGACAGCTGTTGCAGGTGGTTCCACATACAGTTTACATTTTTACAGTAGCTCAAATATAAGAAAATATGGAATCTGGAAGTATAAATATGGGACTTTTATTCTTCAATTTCTCCACATTGGTACAGTAAAAATGCTCGATATTAAGTATACTTGTAGTCTTAGATGTGTAGAAGTCAAATATACCATCCATAGCCAGGAATTATTGAGCAAAGTGTTTTTACAGTAGCTCAAATATATGAAAATACCACTTGGAGGTACAAATATGGACTTTTATTGTTGAATTTCTCCAAATTGGTACAATACAAATGCTTGATATTAAGTATGTTTGTAGTCTCATATGTGTAAAAGTCAGTAGCCAGGAAACACTGAGCAATATGTTTTTACAGTACCTCAAATATGGTCAAATATGCAATCTCTGGAGGCATAAATATGAGACTTTTATTTTGGCATTTCTCCACACTGGTGCAGTAAAGATACTTGATATAAAGTGTTTTTTTATTCATCAGGGGCGCATGAAACACTTTAATGTAACATATTTTAATTATAGCTTACTGTTCTAAATACCTTTATTTTGAAAACCGGAAGTAAATACGCTGTTTCTCCGCATTTACCATAATGCTGAGAATACTTGTACACTCTAAATTTAAGTGCGGCTGATTTGACCACGGAGATCGGACTCACGGCTGGATTGACCGCAGTCTACTAGCCTACTGTTTCTTCTACACAGCACCGTCCTGTAAATGACAACATCCGGTCTCAGAATATATAAAACAGGCCTTTTTTCTGTTTCTGTTTTCTAGTGATTTTATTTTTTGTTATATGAAATAGAAAATGAAAATCGAATATTTTTTTTAATTTCGCTCATCCCTTTTTGACCATGAAAAAGAAAAACGCTTTGTATTTCAATTTTAATTTTTGTATTTTAAAACGAAAATCAAATAACCACTCGTTTTCTGTCTTTTAATACCCGTTTCTGAAAGGAAAATCCAATGACCAAAACATACACGGACCCATGTATCTTTTGGTCATTGGATTTTCCTTTCAGAAACGGGTATTAAAAACAGAAAACGAGTGGTTATTTGATTTTCGTTTTAAAATACAAAAATTAAAATTGAAATACAAGGCATTTTTCTTTTTCATGGTCAAAAAGGGGTGAGCGAAATTAAAAAAAATATTCGATTTTCATTTTCTATTTCATATAAAAAAAATAAAATCACTAGAAAAAAAAGGCCTGTTTTTTCATATTCTGAGACCGGATGTTGTCATTTACAGGACGGTGCTGTGTAGAAGAAACAGTAGGCTAGTAGACTGCGGTCAAGCCAGCCCTGACCCCGATCTCCGTGGTCAAATCAGCCGCACTTAAATTTCGAGTGTACAAGTATTCTCAGCATTATGGTAAATGCGGAGAAACAGCATATTTACTTCCGGTTTTCAAAATAAAGGTATTTAGAACAGTAAGCTATAATTAAAATATGTTACATTAAAGTGTTGTGCCCCTGATGAATAAAAAACACTTTATATCAAGTATCTTTACTGCACCAGTGAGGAGAAATGCCAAAATAAAAGTCTCATATTTATGCCTACAGAGAGCATATTTGACCATATTTGAGGTACTGTAAAAACATATTGCTCAGTGTTTCCTGGCTACTGATGGTATATTTGACTTTTACACATATAATACTACAAGCATACTTAATATCAAGCATTTTTACTGTACCAATTTGGAGAAATTCAACAATAAAAGTCCCATATTTGTACCTCCATGTGGCATATTTTCATATATTTGAGCTACTGTAAAAACACTTTGCTCAATAATTCCTGGCTATGGATGAAGCGTTTTCATTATACTTCAATAATGATGCGGTAATCATGACAAAATTTCACACAAATGTTTAATAACATCTTGATAATATAAACACTAAACACAAAATCCTACACAATTCTAATTTGTTTATTTTTCACACAAAATGCAATGGCAGTCCACATTCTTCTTATTTTGCAGCTCTGCTGTGTCCATTTGTAGGTAAAAGGGAAAAATAATTAGTTTTAACTTCAAAACACCATTGTACCTACTGTCTCTTCCTCACATATTATTTTTTATATTATTCAGTGTGACAGCTGTTGCAGGTGGTTCCACATACAGTTTACATTTTTACAGCAGCTCAAATATAAGAAAATATGGAATCTGGAAGTATAAATATGGGACTTTTATTCTTCAATTTCTCCACATTGGTACAGTAAAAATGCTTGATATTAAGTATACTTGTAGTCTTAGATGTGTAGAAGTCAAATATACCATCCATAGCCAGGAATTATTGAGCAAGGTGTTTTTACAGTAGCTCAAATATATGAAAATACCACTTGGAGGTACAAATATGGACTTTTATTGTTGAATTTCTCCAAATTGGTACAGTAAAAATGCTTGATATTAAGTATGTTTGTAGTCTCATATGTGTAAAAGTCAAATATACCATCAGTAGCCAGGAAACACTGAGCAATATGTTTTTACAGTACCTCAAATATGGTCAAATATGCAATCTCTGGAGGCATAAATATGAGACTTTTATTTTGGCATTTCTCCACACTGGTGCAGTAAAGATACTTGATATAAAGTGTTTTTTTATTCATCAGGGGCACACAACACTTTAATGTAACATATTTTAATTATAGCTTACGGCTCTAAATACCTTTATTTTGAAAACCGGAAGTAAATACGCTGTTTCTCCGCATTTACCATAATGCTGAGAATACTTGTACACTCTGAAATTTAAGTGCGGTTGATTTGACCACGGAGATCGGACTCACGGCTGGATTGACCGCAGTCTACTAGCCTACTGTTTCTTCTACACAGCACCGTCCTGTAAATGACAACATCCGGTCTCAGAATATATAAAACAGGTCTTTTTTCTGTTTCTGTTTTCTAGTGATTTTATTTTTTGTTATATGAAATAGAAAATGAAAATCGAATATTTTTTTTAATTTCGCTCATCCCTTTCTGACCACGAAAAAGAAAAACGCCTTGTATTTCAATTTTAATTTTTGTATTTTAAAACGAAAATCAAATAACCACTCGTTTTCTGTTTTTTAATACCCGTTACTGAAAGGAAAATCCAATGACCAAAACATACACGGAGCAAAAAATGAACCGTTATTTGTTTTTTGGTATCAGATTCATAAACGAATAAAGAAATAACAAACCGTTTTTTTGATTTTCTGATTTTGGAATTTCAATTAAATATGAAGCGAACAAATGATACACAGATTCAAACCTTATTTACTGATAATTCAATTCAGTTTTATTTGTATAGCACCGATTAATAACAGAAGTTATCTCAGGACACTTTTCAAATGGAGCAGGTCTAGACCGAACTCTTTAAAACATTATTTACAGAGACCCAACAGTACCACCATGAGCAAGACCTTGGAGACAAGGGCAATGATGAGAAATTAATATAATTATAAATTAATGAAATGATCTAAGTCTGTTTTTAATGAACTTTGTTGTTGTTGTTGTTGTTGTTGTTGTGTTAACAATAGTGAATCTGATCAAATGATCACTTATCTTATTGATATTATCAGTTACATCAGGAACTAATGATTATTGATTAGATTATTACGGTCCAAATCGTAGTCAACAATAATATAATAGTAAACACACGCACGCGCTCTTACCTGACTCAGTAGTTTCTCCATGTCTGTCTCTCTGTCTGTCTGCCTCTCTCTCTCTCTCTCTCTGTCATTCAGCCATCGCAGGTCGCGCGCGCTCTGGCACGCGGCGGTCCCTCCGTTCACAACCTCGTCCCGCGCGGTCCGGTCCGGTTTAAGTCCATGTCGGTCCGAACCAAAACAGATCCACAAGGGAAGAGCCGAGCTGAGCCTGGCCGAGCCGAGCCGGGTTAGATCCCAACACACAACGCAGGCAGCCGAACCGGACCAAAAGAACTCGGGACACACACAGAGAGAAAAAGGGAGTCCGGGTCAGTCCGGTCCTGGTCCGGGTCTCTCAATAGTCCTCCCTCCAGTTATTAACGGGGACCACAGACCGCACCGGGACTCTGACGGACCGGAGCAGCGCGTGCTGCCGGTGAGGAGGCTGCTGCAGAGCGCGAGCCAATCAGAGCGCGGGAGAGAGAGAGAGAGAGAGAGAGAGAGAGAGAGAGAGAGAACAGAAGAGAGACAGAGAGAGAGAGACAGAGACAGAGAGAGAGACAGATAGAAACAGACAAAGACAGTGAGAGAGAGAGAGAGAGAGAGAGAGAGAGATAGCGAGACAGAGAGAGAGAGAGACAGATAGAAACAGACAAAGACAGTGAGAGAGAGAGAGAGAGAGAGAGAGAGAGAGACAGAGAGAGAGACAGAGAGAGAGACAGATAGAAACAGACAAAGACAGAGAGAGAAAGAGAGAGAGAGAGAGAGAGAGAGAGAGAGACAGCCACATCATCATCCATACAGGCACCAGGACAGACTGGCAGACTCTCTGAGGAGAGTCATTGAGCAAGCTTCCCCCAATTTCCCTAACAGCAAGATAGTCATATCCACACTGCTGCACAGGAGAGACTTCCATCCCCACACCATTGAATATCAGCCTCTCCAGGGACTGTGCCCTCAAACTAGGGATGTAACGTTATGAAAATTTAACCTCACGGTTATAGTGACCATAATTATCAAGGTTTTCGGTATTAAGTATTTAACAGTGTTTATTATATTACAAAATCTTATCAAAAGCATCAAAATGTAACATCAAAGGCACAAGGGTTCAGCATGTAAACAGCTTATTTGTCAGGAATATTTCCAGTAGTGCAGGTTTAAATGATACAAATCTAAACATTCAAGCTAAGACATAAAGAACAATATGTAAAGAAATCAAAGAAACACCACTAATTATATACCTGTTTTCGTCATCATCAAAATTAAAATGTAAAACTGTTAGTAGCTTATTTGTCAGGAAAATGAACCATTGTGCAAGTTTATGTGAACACTTTAAACTAAACTAAAAATAAGACAAAAGTGCATTATGCATTTACAATAAATAGCCACTATAAACAAACAACAAAAATAACTACAAGCTGATGTAATCAAATCCAAATGTTCAAGTGTTAATGACATTAAAATAAAAAAACTAAATATGTAAACAAATCAATGGAACAGAACTGATTGTATACTTATTCTCTCCACCATCAACCAATAAGATGCTGCTGATCTGGCATCCTGTATGTATGCATCTCTATTCACTTTAATTCTATTCATTAAAATGTAAAAATGTCAACATATTTACTTTGTTTGGTTTAAGTAGTGATCTACGAGGGGAAACAATGTACCCGCTGGCACTGAATAGCCTCTCTGAAGGAACACTGGTTGCTGGGATGCACAAAAGCTTTCTTGCAATCCTGGCAAGATGAGGCAGTTCTGATGCATGGCCCCTCCACCACACCAGTGGATCATCCTCGGCTGGAATGGATGGCAGAGACATGTAGACCTTGATCTCCTCCTTCACTGTATTTTCTGGGGTGGCTGGAACTGAACCATCTTCAGATCTCTGCTGCCTTGTTGAGGTAATCTTTTTTAGAAACTCAGCCAGGCCTTTCCCTTCTGATACTGCTGTGGAGGTACTGCTGGTGCTTTCTGGTTCCTGCCTGACTTGTACAGGTGTCAGCTTCAAGGCCTCCTGGACACAGCTGTCAACTACAGCATTCAGAGGCTCATCTAAAAAGTTAGTTTTGAACCTGGGGTCAATGAAACAAGCCATCTGCATGACACCCTTTGCCTTCTCTGTGTACCTCTTGTTTAAGTCTTCTCTCATTACCTTTTTCATCTGCTTGGTCAGGGCTGGATCCTCATCATTTTCCTACAGGACATCACCAGTGATGTGGTCAAGGACTGGCTTAATGGCTGATATAGTTACTTGTGTCTCTGAGCCAAGTGCATCTGTAAATGTGCTCAGAGGTTCAAGGAGCTGGCAGAGTTGCTCCATAACAACTATGTCAGCATCCTTGGGCATCAGATGCCAAACTCAAACCCATTTCTGCAGCCAGTGTAGCACTGACTGCCTGCTGCTGGCTGAGGAAACATTCAAGCATCTTGTATGTAGATCCCCATTGGGTCACTACATCATGGATGAGATCCTTCTGTGGCAGGTTGAGGGCAGCTTGCTTTTGTGTCAGTGCTCTCGTTCTCTTCCAGCTCCGTGAGAAGCCTTGGACCAGATGACGACAGGCCCTGACTGCTGTTTCAACTCTCTGAATTTTCAAAGCTTTTGAGATGGCCAGGTTCAAATTGTGACCGAAGCATCCAAGCCACAGATCTGGGAACTATTCAAAAGCCTTGATCATGTTGGTTGCATTATCTGTGGTTATGGAGACCAGATCTGTCTTGTTTATCACCCACTCATCCAACATATTCTCAAAAAACTCTCTGATATTTTCAGCGGAGTGATCTTCTGGGAAAAACTGGGTTTCTAAGCAGTGTGATTCCAGTTGCCAGTCTGGGGTGAGATAATGAATTGTAAAGCTGATGTATGGTTGGCCAGCCCCACTTTCACTGGTCCAGAGGTCAGTAGTTGCAGCAAAGAATGCACCCTGAGCCAAACTTGTCCTAACATCAGCTTTGACTGCGTTGTACATCTTTGGTATGTCAGTCTTTGAAAGAAAATTGTGTGAAGGCACTTTGTAATGAGGCACGGCAACCTTCATCACCCTCAGAAAGCCAGGCCTCTCAATCATCTGGAAAGGCATCATGTCTTTTGCTATGCAATAGGAGATTTCTGCAGTTAGGTCTTGAACTTTTTTGGATGCAGGTGCATAAGCAGACTGTCTTTGGAATGCTTGCGAGTCTGTGTCACTGATGAACCCGTAGCAGTACTTGGCTGCCCCACTGCAAGTCCACTCTGTAAAAAAAAGGAATAGCCATGTCATTATTATTAATTATTATTATTATCATTAGGCTACCATTCATATCAATATTCATACGATTTTGCCTTTAGCTGTTATTGTTGCTAAATCAAAAGAAAACGATTGGCTAGAAATTAATTCTCTTACTGGGCAAATGATGTTTCGTGTTTTCAAAGACACATGGTTCAGACCGTCACCGTGTGACTTAGTCCATTAAAATTATCCAACTTTGCTAGAATTAAACGATTTACTGAACTTAAGACAAATATAAATTATGCATTCTTGTAGTAGGACACTGAAAAACCTAGACATGAAAAGGAAATCAAGAAATGCATGCAATGAAATACTGTAGCCTACTACTGTTTGACAAACGCAACTCAAATGGGCATCCGTCTAGCTCTGAGGCTAAAAATGTGTCCTGATTTGCACCACACACCACCACTGAACGAAAATGTGCATTTCAGGTAGACAAGTTGTTAACAAGTTACACAGACGGATCATTGCATTCTCCTTCAACCTGAAGTCCCCACACCATGCATTTTAGCTAAAACGTTAACGTTAACTTACCTTGCATTGGCTATAAAGTTGTGGGTGACGGTCACGGAGATGAGTCAGGAGATTTGACGTATTTGCGCCTTTAGCAGCAACTTTTTTCCTTCACGTTCTGTAGATAGGATAACTATCTTCAATCAACTGTCCCTCGGCATTCTTATAATAACCATAATATTCCCATGCTTCAGACTTAGTCCTCTTAGAGGGCGGATAAATGTCCTGAGCACTGTTATCTCCTCCTTCTGCCATGATTCCAATTTGCACACATGTTGTAGGCTGAGCAGTGAGCCTGCGCGGCAACTTCAGGAAACTCGGATGACGCGGGGAAGGATTAAATACACGGTTTCCACACCGTGGTAATCATCCATGATAATAATGATATTTGAAATGAAAACTGTAATTGTTATCGTCAACATTTTTATCGTGGTTTACCGTTACACCGGTAATTGTTACATCCCTACCTCAAACCCAACGTGTTCATGGCCCACCACACGACTCTCCACCTGGACTGCCTGTATGATAACACACACCTACACAGGAATGCAGTCCCCACCCTTGCTAGGACCCTGAAGGATGTTGCCCTTGGAAGGAGCCTTACTACCACTCCAAGGGGTAACCACACAACGCAGACCCCACGCAGACCGCCAGGACCTTCTCGACCTTCAAGACCATCCAGACCTCCACCATGCTTCCACCCCCAGCTGTCAGAGAGGACGACCAGGCCACCAAATCCACCGCATCACCAACATCACAACCCACAGCCAACCCCACAGCCAACACAACACTGGCCTCTAAAACCCAGCCAGAGAGCCCCCCAGCCTGGAGGTCCTATACCCCCCCTCCTCCCAATGGCAGAACCAAGACTACAGGAGCAGCAGCCTATTGGGCTGAACTATGCTGCAACGGTGAGAAGAACCACAGCCCCACCCCCCTCTGGTGAACTCATAGAAATATTACACTTGCTAAACCTGCTCAGCTCTCGCCTCATGTACCTATATGGTGGAAGAGCAGAGACACCACAATAATTAATAGTTTAACATGTTGTATATCATTTTAAATGAATAGTAATATAAGGACAATTCTCAACAGTATTTCACACATGATACACTCTAAAATGTCACTCAAAGTTTAATATTTTATTAATTTACTTACTATACTCTTTTCGTCTTTTTACACTTTTGTTCTTTTTATTTATTACCATTATTGTTTTTTAATACCTAGTTTATTATTATTATTATTTTTCTTTTAAGGTGTTTCTAAGGTGTATCTAATTTTTTAACGGATCGCACTTAGAGATGAAGTCATTTACAATAACATGTTGGTACATTCAAGGTCTGAGATCATCAGCTTTTGGTTTAAAGAGCAGAAATTCAGATTTTAATAGAGAGTTAAAAGACTCTGACATTATAGTTTTACAGGAAACATGGTGCAGAGAAAATGTTTCCACTGGTCGTCCTCACGGCTACACTGAGATTATTATACCATCAACAAAAAAACCCACAATTAACCCAAGGCAGAGATTCAGGAGGCATGATTATATGGTGTAAATCAGAACTGAGCCCGTCCATGACAGTTATTAAAAAAGAAGAATCTTATATATGGTTGAAAATTACCAAAAAGATTATTTGTACTGAGCAACATGTCTACATGTGTGCCATCTATATACCTCCATCAGAATCCCCCTGCTACA